CTCGCCTTTTGAAGAGGTCAATTTCATTTTGATTGTCGCATTTTAGAATTGCCTGCCGCGCAATCATTCCATAGTATTTTTCGGAAAGTTTTAATCTTAACGAATTTTGCAAATCAAGCATTAGGTCATATAGTTCTATTATTATAGGTCCATTATTTTCAAGTTTTTGAATTAAAGATCCTATATTGGAAAATAAACCCAGATAAGCTTCCGCTAACTCATTATTAAAAAATTCTCGAAGAATTGGTGGACAAGTATCTAATGATAAGAAATATCTTTTAACAGGCTCAAAGTTTTTGAACAGTCTATCAATAGCTGGAACAAGAGAAAGCCATCTAGTACTAACGTGCCTCAGCAACTCTGAATATTGTACATCACAAAACTCGTAAAAATTTCGAGTTCATGCTTTCTTTTAGTATGTGAACTAAATGTATTAAATGTTTTTAGAATAATGCATTGTAGGTCAAATTTCAAGCAATTGGAGGCATTTTTTATTGAGTTGTTTAGCATATGGCAAAGGCAACCCATATCTAAAATATCGGGATTATTTTTTTTCAATTCCGTAAAAACGCTGTGATTTTTCCCAAAATTTACATTGGCGTTATCCGCGCAAAAACTTATTATGTTTTTAATATTTAAGCCCACTTTTTCTATTTTTTCGATTAGTAATTTGGCTATATGTTCTGCAGTTTCAGAAGAAGAATCGAAGAAATTTAGAAGTTTTGTTTGAACTCCTGTATTTTTTTTAAAATAGCGAACAACCAGAGGAAACATTTTAATATTTCCTTTATTTGAGGCGTCAGTCGCTAAAGAAAATGGATGGTTTTCTCGAAGATCATTAATAATAGTATTTAAGGATTTAATTGCCAAAACATTGGTAACTATTTTTGACAATTTGGTTCTACCACAAGAAAAAGACTGACCAATTTTTGAGTCGGAAAATATTGTAGGATAAAATGAGCTGCTACAGTTTGCTGAATTATAACTATGAGCATGTTGCACTGTGTGGTATACAAAGGAACACTCAGCAGCAGTTATCTTTTTATTTAAATCTGTTAATGTACCTGATGTTGAAGGTCCTTTAAAAAATGAAGAAATATTTGATGTTTTTGCCGAGAGTTCCAGTTGTTTCTTATGTTTGTTGGAATGCATATGTTTTTTTATATCAAAAACGCCTCCGTTAGCTATGGAGAAGTTAGAGTGACATATACAACATTTTGCAAATCCGGCTTCTTTGCCTTTTACAAGCCAGTTATACGTTTTGGTCCAATCGTCATTAAAATGATTTCGTCTTTTTTTGCTCCGTTTTGGTTGAAATTCTTGCGATTTTTCATCATCAGTGTTGTGCAGTTGTGCAATCTATAGTAATTAAAAAGAAAGGATTTTGTTTATAAATACAAAACAAATTCAACTAAACTTACTTGAGAGCAATTGCACTGGAAACCCTTCACATTAACACTGTACACTTAAGTAATTAAGTAAAAATAGAAATTAAAGACACCAAACTTAATTAAGAAATTAAAATGACTTAGAATAGTCGAACTGCTGTGCTCTACGTAATCTCGTATAAACGTAATGCGCAGTCATGATGCGCATCGCTCCCATTAGTAATAAAGGCGGTAGACAGGAGATGTAAAAAGCGGTAAATTTGAATTAGAAAATGATAGAAATGATAATTTAATATAAGATAAAGTGCTGAGTTTCGAATGACCCGTGCCCGTTCAAAATTAAGTTTTATGTAAAAATACACCCGTCTTAAAATGGGGTATTTTTGGTACCTCTTTTGGATTTTTAGAAAAAGGGTATTTTTAAAATTCTATAAAGAAAAAGGGGTATTGTACCCCAAAAAGGGGTACGTCTGGCAAGCCTAGTTATAACGGATTATAAAATGCTAACCCCCATTTCAAGACTTATATAGAAGGCTAAACAAAATCTGAAAAAATTGTGCAACAAAACTGGACCGTTTTTTTATTTTATTTTTGGTCCCAAGAAGGCATAAAACGTGGTATACTTTATGTTTTATGCGATATTCATAACCTGCCAAACTAACCCCAAAAATATTTATTTCTTTGTTATATTTAGGTATTTTTTTAAGAATTTTTGACCACTTTTAGCCTAGAGAACCTTTGTTACAATGAAAATTTTAGTTTCGCAATTTTTTCAAAGTTATTTGCAAAAATTTCTCAAAATCTGCTGCGGTACCTGAGAACCAAATGTACTATGACTTTAAAAGCACTGATTTTCAATCATTAAATAACCACCTAAGTATTATTAACTGGGATTTAGTAATTTGGAACAATAATATAGATGTTTGTGTATTATCTTTTTATAAAATTTGCTTCATTTATTTCAATTATATTGCTCATAAAAAGTTTTAAAAATTATTTTTTGAGTTGGTTTTCAATCTGATTATTGTGAAAAAATAGCTCACAAATCATTTAAACAAAATCTAAATACTCATTAAATCATTTAAGAAATTTAAATTTAAGAAGGTTCTGTAAAGACTTAACAAATCAATGCTATACAAATTGGGTATACCAACTATATATACATATATAGTGAGCACTTTAAAAGCCCCCCCTGTTATCTTTTGTACGAAAAAAGGTATCGACATCGGACAAAAACCATTGTCAAGGATACTACTTGAGGTCAAATTGATAGGTGCCTATTTATGAAGTGCCAAGAGGGCAGTATCAACTTAAAAAAATTCAAATGGAAAGGGTGGAACTTGTAATACCTCATTTGAAAGGTATTCTGATTCTCTATCGATAATATTTTTGCTATGTAATTAAGCATTTGAGTTTTTTTGAGCTACCTACGTTGCCTGTTCGGTAAATTCAGCCCTGGCAGTACGAATTATCGCAAATCGGTAACACTATTTAATTTTTTTGATACTTTTTTGTTTTTGTTTTGAAAAAAAAAACGTAACAGTGTAGTTTTTAGGCGGTTTATAAAATAATTGTATTTTTTAGTTGTGGCCATTTTACTTTTTATTTAGTTGGAAAATGGTTCGCGCTCGCGAATTTAATGCAGGCACGAGCGAGCTTGCGAGCGAGTGCTTAAACTAATGAGTGTCTAGACAAGTCTATAAACGAGTTGCATACTATACCTTTTTTACGACAAATACTTATTATTATCTAAAAATGATTTAAATTAAGTATTTGTATAGAGCGCTATCTATAAAACAATAAGGGAATATGTGTTACCGTCAAATGTCAAATTTGTATGTGTTATAAACATAGATAATAAATTAAAATATATCCCTTGAAAATGGATTAAACAACAGTGTTTCCCCGAGCCGGTTAGTACAATGTTCATATAAACATTTCAAATATTGTCGTTGAGAAACTATTTAATGCTTTTGTTTTTTTTTGTATTGAGATAATAAAATAATTTTCACATTTATTATTTTAGAAGAAGGCACTTTATTTTAACAATTTTTTGACAATTGAAAACTGTCAACTAACTTAAAGCTAACTTCAGCCCGTGACTAAAACACCGTAAAGCCACAACTTGTCAATGTGTATTTAAAAGGTCACTTAGTGTCATGGAAACATACGATAATGGGCGTTTTAAAGGTGGGAGTAAAAAAATATTATTATTATTATTTGGTAAATTTTTATTTAATAAAAAATAACTTTTATAGGCATTTAATTTTATACGATTAGTTTACCTATTTCTTATACTAATATTAAAGAAACTACAAATGTATTTAGAATATTCAGTTTTTGAAATTTTATCTTATAAATTGATAAATACATATATTTCTTCCGATTTAAATTTATATCAATATATGATTTTCGATATATCGTTCGATACTAAATTAAAAAAAATATATTTTAATCTGCCATGTCTAGTCGGGAGGGTTGTTTCATATCTTATTAAAATATTGTACAAAAAATTTAAATGTTACAGCTTTTAATATTTTTAACATTTACACTTTTGGCTGTCAATCGTTGTTCCACCAACGAGATGGCAGGAGTATATTTTGTTGATAAGTTTCATTAAAATTATAAAAGAAAAGAAATCCCAAGGTTTAAAAAATGTGATAATGAAATATGTCTTGGACTTTGTCTGCGGATTAGTAGGAAGAGCAGGGTTGTAACAAAGCATGGAGCAATCTCCACGCGAAATACAATGCGACTAACATAAGCATATAATTTTATAATATATATTTAATTTCTAATATGGATATTTAGAAAATTATAAATAAATGCGTTTGAGTATTTTTGTAATTTTTTTTATTAAATGTAATTTTAAAGGGTCCTATTTTTAAGTTATACCTGACAAAACGGTTTTAAAAAACTGGTAACGCATTTTTTATATTAATTTGTATTAATTATTCTATTAAATTGAGTATTAAAATTAAATATTTATTTATGTATTATAAAAATGGTGAATGCTCAGGGATAATTTTAATATAATATAATAATAATAATAATAATAAAGTAAGAAGATGGTTCTCATGTTAATTGTTGGACATATACAGATTTTATTTGTTATAAAAAAGTTGTTATAAAAACCATCTTATTTAATAAAAATTTACGAGACTTTTTGGCTTGAAAACTGGAAACAGATCAGGTGCGAAACATTGGTAACCGACCAGCTTATTGTCAACAGAGGCTTTTTTAAATGGATCAAGGACAATGCAATTGGTGCATGAAAATAAAAAACCTATTTAAGAAACTCGCCCACAGCAAAATATAAAAACAAAGAACAGCAACAACAAATTTTGTTTCGTAAATCACGTGCGAACTGCTCTAAATTAACAAAGCAGCCAAAATTTACTTATATTGATTGCAATAATATAAGATTTAATGGTCTGTCAAATGTTTAAATTGTAAATAATTTAAGAGGATACGACAACAAAACAATAACGATGTTTTTATATATGAATTGTTAGGAAGGGCAGGGTTGTAACAAAGGGTGGAGCAATATCCACACGAAATACCATGCAAAAATATCAACATATACAGATTTAATATTGCTAGGATACTCACATTCATCAGTTTGGGCAGAAAAAGTTTGTTAAAATTGGCATTTGAAGAGTCAAACTTTAACAACGCACTGAACTGTCACCGCACGGCCCGCCTCCTTGAACGTATCTGGCTAACTACGATCCGTGGCTGTGACGTACTACGCTGTCTTTGCTTTTGATCGAATCGACTCTATACGGTTACGCTCAACGCTCAATTATTCACATTAGCAACCTTTTTCTTGAAACCGCTTAAAAATCCCACCTCAACTCGATTTTGATCCTACCACAACGAAGCTACGCCTAATTGTTAAACATTCTCGATTGTTTTAGAAACAATGGTAAGCGCGCAGAGGGGCCAGACTAAGGATTCATTTGTGGGATATTTTTTATACGTATTGAATGAGGCGGATTAAAAAATTACCATGCGATTCATAATGAATAATGTCGATTGATTTTTCCACGTGACGTCAACAGCTCGAGGTCGCTACAGGTTCATTCGGGAGTTTGAACTCCTGATCAGAGGCGGCGCCGAACTCAAAGCCCGCTTTGTTGCCGGGCAAAAAATAGTAAATATACTAAAACCAAAAAAATGCCCTCCGATTTTAATTCAAATCTGTTTTTGATTGTTCATGTTTAATTTGTCATGTTTGCTCCAGTATTTATTTATCCAATACCATTGTTAAAAAGTCGACTTTTTTGTTGACATTTAAGTGTCAAAATTTGGTCATTTTTGACTGTGCAAAAAAGTAAGGGGCCACCATGCATGCGGACGGAACAAATCACAAAACTGTTTTTGTAAAAAAAATTGTAGGTAATTTATTATATAACATTTTGGAATTAAAATTGTCCAAAATATTCTTCTTTTATAAGGCTATACATTAAATTAAAAGAAACGCAAGAAATATTTTATAAAAGTATAGATAATTTTAATAATTGAAACCCAGATAACCAAAGATTCTTGGGAAACCTAAAGAAACGCGTTGTAGGCAATAACAAGCTGGCACATTTCATGCAACAGTAAGCCAATAAGTTGGAAGTCCAAAACATTTCCCGTCAGTTGCATGCAAACTGCAAGAAAAATGTTTCGGCCCAAGTTTGACACGTATTTCCAATAATTTCTGATTAACAGTTGTATTCAACAGAGGTGTAACCTACGGGCAACACATTTCCTAAAATACCTTGTTCGTCAGTTGCATGCAAACTGCAAGAAATGTGTTTCCGCCCAAGTTAGCCCCGTATTTTCAATAGTTTCCAGTCAACAATTGTATGCAACATAGGTGCAACCGACGGGAAACATATTTCCCACTATAAAGAACCGCGCTTGCGCGAGAGTCCCCACTACCGTTGCTCACCATTTGTTCTTTATAATTTATGGTTTGTTCTGCGAGTGTGTGTACCGTACACAGTGTACGACGTGTTGATTAATATAAACAAGAAATCTATCAGGTATGTTTTATGCACGCAATAGTTATCTATTAGCTTTAGCTATAGCTATATATATATTATATAAAGCACTGTTAAAATAATGCAGAACAAATTCGATGATTTGTAAAATCACCGGGCGGAATAAAAATCGATAAGGTGAATCCCTGAATATATGCTTAAAATTGTTTCTTTCTTCTTTTAGATCTAAAATTGATCAATTTTGATATATGTACCTATATCCATATGGAAAAATCAAAAAATCCTTTGAAAATAAAAAAAAATACAAAAAAGAAACCAAGACGTAAGTAAATTTTTAAATAATTTGTTATATTGAAGTGAAACTTCCTTCGGCATAGTACCTAAATAGAGGCTATAAAAATGTAGGATTTTTTGAAGATGTAGCTTTTTCTTTGAAGTATTATAATTTTATAAGGGTTTTTATTCAAATAACATTAATTTATTTAAAATTTCAGAAGCTATTATAATAGCGGTAATTTTAAATTAATTAATTAATGTAATTTCTTTTTTGTATACAAAAATTTGTTGTAGTATACTACAACAAATTTTTATAAAGCACACCTTACCGCCCTTGTAAAATTTGCATTTTTGAACTATTTTTTATCGCTCTTAAATACAGGGTGTACCAGCTAGGCATTTTTTAATTTTTTGATAATCAAAAAAGTGACGTGAATAAACACATTTAGTGGATATTTTAATAGAACCAAATGCTTCCCAAGAAACGACAAAATTTACCATAGTGTAGGTGGTAGTCTAATAAACATGTGCATAAAAAATTATCACCCATAATATAACAAGTGGTATGATTATCATCGATGATATTTTCGAATTGAAACCGAACTGCAGATTTCACGAGTCCGCAGGACGAGTGAAATGTGCTGCTTCGGTTTTAATGAGTAAATATCATCGATAATTAATCATACCACGAGTTATATTTAGTGAGAAAATATAATGAATTTTAGGATTTAACGAATTTTTAGTTTGACATTTGAAATTAAAATGTGCTTTAAAATATAAAAAGACTTTAATAAACCTTATTTATTCAAACTTACCTTAATTTCATTATCGTTTACACCAACCCATCGATCTTTTAGAGTTTATAATTCATTATTTTATTGATATAATATATTATATATATATTATATCAAAAACAGAATTTAAATGACAACAAATGTCAAATCAAAAAAACGTCAAAATTAGTAACGTGTAAACAAGATGATAAAAAATATTGCCGCTGTGATAAAATACGTCACTATGGAATTCTGGCATTTTATTGGTTCTAATATTAATGAATTATATTGTCAAATTATTAATTAAAATCTGACTGAAAAAATTGTCAGGCCAAGCGTTAATAAATTATTTTTATTTTTCAGATTGATTATGGGGCCTTTATAGGTGGTGACACCTTAAAAGAACACATTCATAAACTGTTCAGGAAGTTTATCTCTGACGAGATATGCACCCAATATACATGGGGGGGATGAGCAAGGCAATCATCCCCTTTACAACCCTGGTCTTGTTAGGGCTATTTTTGGTATGTTAAATAATGTTTTATACAAACTAAACATATGTTTATTGCTAAACATATATTTATTGCAGGAGCTGTGGGTACCAATAAAAACTTTGATCCACCAACGCGTGTTGAACTTCAAAGAGAGGTAACGGCGAGTGGCAAAAGTTTTGCCGCAAAACAGCGTCAACGTATTACCGCTAAAGCCTGATTTATAGATTTTCTTCCTTCCTTCCTTCCTCTCATAAAAGATGAACAATACGAAAATCGTAGTGCCATTTATAGATTTCCGTATGGGAATCTTTAAAAAGCACAACGGTTTCATCTTTTACGGGAGGAAGGAAGGAAGAAAGGCAATCTATAAATCAGGCTTAAGCGTCGAGATCCAAACGTAAACAATGAAGATTCCATAAGGCTGCGCCTGTTTGAAGCCGATAATTTATATAATAATAAATATATTTATTATTCCCGGCTGAAGGACGAAAGTCAATGGCCTTTTGAAAAATGTATTTTTTTCAATAATAGTATATTAAAGAACTAATGTCATAAGACGTCATTTTGTCGCACGCGGACAATTTATAAAACGAGCGACGAAGGAGCGAGTTTTATAATGGACAAGTGCGACAAAAGGTCTTATGACATGAGTTCTTTATGCTATTTTATCTATTTTGCAAACATTTCATAAAACAAATTAATTTTATACCTTATATTTAATTTGGTTAAATTTTACTTTACATAGTTGGTATCATAGATAACAAAGTTTGAAGTTTGAAAGGTCATTAACCTTTCAAACATTATCACATTCTTTCGCTATGGCGTCGTTAATTTACAATAAGTATTTACAATAAGCGGCTGTTAAAGAAGAAAAAAGGATTTTCTTTGGTGTTAAACAAAATTTATTACACGAAAAGTCTCGTAAGTACTAGAAAACAAATCATAAAAATATTATAACCTATAGGTATTCAAAATTGTATTTTACCAGTAGCCAACCTATAAAATCAAAATTTTGGGTGGAATAAAGTACCTCATTAAAGAACCAAAAGCGGTGTTATAATGAATTCATTATGAAACCAAAATAGATAAAGAACATTTATTATTATTATTTATTATTATATAAATTATCGGCTTATAAGGTTATTCTGTTGTGTATATAAATATTTATAATATTTTATTTCTTTGTAAATATAGGTATTTTTGTAATAAAACGACTTTTGAAAAAATTCGAGTATGAAAATTTACGCCTAACCCTCTTGTTAAAATAACAATATTAATAAATGAGGCATTACTGAATTTGGTGGCAATTTGCCGATAACGTATCGGAAATTAAAATGAATAGGTAAATGAAGCGTTTGGAACCAGAGTGGCCTAACCCACAAATGTTTTTTCTTAAATGATGTTAACAATCATTTTAGGACAATATAGATATATATATATATATAGGTATATATTAAGGTGCTTTTTTTCGGAAATGAAAAACTTTGTTAAAAAAAGCACCCAAATATATATATATATATATATATATTGTCCTAAAATTATAACTCCATTTTAGAATAAATGTTTGTGGGTAAGGCCACTCTGGTTCTCAACGCTTCATTTATTAATTTATTTTAATTTATGATTCGTTATCGGCAAATTGCCACCAAATTCAGTGAATTTGAATAGGTAAATCATTTCCTATCCGTTGCCCACAATCAGTATACGCAAAAGGTTTCCCGTCTGTTGCCGGTGGGTTGCACACTATAAGTCGTCAGGAAACATTTCCGCCTATAAACTCTTATGTTGTCCACAATAATTATAAGCAAAAGGTTTCCCGTCGGTTGCCGGTGGATTGCACACAATATATTGTTAGAAAAGATTTTTGTCTACAGACAGTCAAATGGTGGCACCCACTTGACAGCAAACGGCTACCATATCAAGAGAACGAATAGTAGGCAACTGACCGGCAAACGGAAGGACGCTGGTTATCTGGGAAGGTGTGGACGGGACAAGATATATCTTTTATATATCTATAGAGATATAATATATTATAACATATTATGTCATATATTTTATATATATATGGGTTATTTTCAAATTTCTTGTACAGGGTGATCCCATATAATGTCGCCCCCCTTTAACTTTTTTATTTTAAGTGTCCCAAAAAATTTAAAAGTGTGGTTATGTAGGAACTAAAAAATACTTTTTTTCTACGTATAAAGAAAATTTTAAAATTGAT